AGCTGACCTATAGTCAATAAAAGTTAATTAGTTAAAGTTAAGTTAAAGTTATATAAAAGTCATGTTAATGTTTAGTTAAAGGTAAGTTGAAGTTAAGTTCAAGTTATTTCCAGGCAATTTCAGGGAAACTTCAGTTCTTGTCAGTTTTTGAAACTTGAAAGTTCTTGTTAAGATAAAATTAAACCAAAGTTAAATTAAATTAAGAAATAAAAGTTAATGTGTAGTTAAAAAATTAAGTAATAGTTGAGTTAATTTAATTAGTAAAATATATGTCAAAGTTTTATGAGAGATAAAAACCTGTTAAGTTAAGATTAAGCCAAAGTTTAGTTAAAGTTTAGGGAAGGTTTCGTTAAAATTCAGTTAAGTTATAATTAAAGCCAATAATATGTTAAAATTAAGTTAAAATTATTAGAAAATTATGTTAAAACTCAGTACAATATAAGTTGAAGTTATGTTAAACTAAAAGTTATGTTTAGTTAATAACATAAAGTTTTGTTAAAATTATATTAAACGTATGTTAAAGTAAAGTTGAAGCATTATTGTTTTGCTTTCAGTTAACGTTTAGTTACAGATAAGTTAAGTAATGTTTGGTTAAAATTATAGCGAAGTTAATTTGTTAAAGTTATGTTACAGAAAATATCAAGTTAAGTTAACGTTGAGTCAAAGTTTAGTTAAATTTTATTGAAGGTTTAGTCAAAGTTTAGTTAAGGGTAAGGTAATCATGTTTTCAAATTTTGTTAAAGCCAAGAAAAAGTCAAGATACTGTTAAAAGAAGCTAGTTAGTTGAAGCTGTGTTAAAGTTTATTAAAAGTTTCGTAAAGTTTATAAGATAAAGTTGAGTTTAACTAAAGTCAAAGTTTAGAAAAAGGTTTATTCAAGTTGAATTAAAATTAAGACACTGTTAAGTTAAAGTTTAGCAAAGCATTAGTTAAAGTTAAGTTAATTTTCAGCTAAAGTTAGGTTAAACATTAGCTAAAGTAATGATAAAGCTTAAACTAAAAAAAGTGTTAAGTTTAAGTTTTATTAATGTTATTTCCATGGAAATTCAGGAAAACTCCAGTTCACTTCTTGGAAGTTGTTGAAAGCTTTTGGAATTTATTGACTGTTCTTGGAATATTTTGGAAGTTCTTGGAAGTTTTTGGTACTGCTTGATACTTCTGCAAGTATCAACAATCACTTCACTTGGAGGTTTTTTGCTATGTTAAAATGAATTCAAAGTTAATTTAAATTAACTTTAAAGTTAAGTTTATGTTTAGATTAGTTAAAGTGAAGTTTCTTTTGTTACAAAATTTAGCTTACAAGTTCAAGTTTAGTTAAAATAAAGTTGAACTTTTGCTTAAGATAAAATCAAGTTGAGTTTAATTTAAGTCAATGATAAGTTGAAGTTAAGTTTAGGCTTCAGTGATATTATGCTAAATATTTGTTTAAGTTATTTTAAAGTTATGTTAAAGATACTTAATGATAATTTTATGTTGAGTTGAAGAAAAAGTTATTTTAAGGTTATTACTTCTGCTTGAAAGTTTTATGAACATCTTGAAGTTTCTCTGAACATATCGAAAGTTTTTTGTATTACTTGGAAATTCTATGAACAACTTGGAATATCTACGACCATCTCGGAAGTTTTTTTTTTTAACATTCTCGAATTTCTACGATCTGTTAGGAAGTTCTATGAAAATCTTGGAATCTCCGAGCCTACCTCGGAAATTCTAAGAAGAACACTGTTCGGAGGACCGCTCGGAAATTCAATGAACATTCAAGTTCTAAAAATGTATGTGTAGACTTACAAAAAAAAAAAAAACTATTTTGATCGTTACGATGGTGATGATGGATTTTTGATATTTGGTTTTATAGTAGTAGTCAAAAAAAAAAAAAGAAAGTAGTCTACAAAAGTTTGAGCCTCGCGCGCGTTATACAGATATAGAGGACTAATTTTAACATTTGATAAAATAACTGTATACTGTAGTGGGAATTTATATCTGTAGCTGTAACCAGTTCGATTTTGTTTGCAAACCTGGTTAAAATGTCATAATTAATTATCTTAATTAATCAATCGTCCAGCTCAAACCTTTGTAGGGGTAAGAGGTGGGACCATCATCATCATCATCAAATTTCCTGATCTTCTGTTGCAATTTTCTGAAGATCTACAAACTTCCCTAAAGTTCAGTGAATTTCCCTGAAGTCCTGCCAATTTCCTAAAAGTTCTGTGAACTTTTCAAAAGTACTCCATATTAGTCTAGAGATCTACGAACATCCATGAAGTTCTGTTAATTTCTCTCACGATCTTTGAACTTGCCTGCATTTCAGAAAATGTTTCTGAAAATGTTTCTGAAAATGTTTCTGAAAATTTATGCACTTTCCTGAATCTATGCACTTTGCTGAAGTTCTGTGTACCTTCCTGAAATTCTGAAAACTTCTCTGAAGATCTACGAGCTTTCCTGAAGCACTGCAAATTTTTCTGAATGTCCACAAACTTCCATGATGTACTTAAAATTTATATCAAAAACTACGAACTTCTCTTAAGCTCTGCAAATTTCTCTGAAGATCTACAAAGTTCAACAAATTTATCTGAAGATCTACAAACTTCACTGAAGTTCCATTAAACAAACAAACACAGACATAGCCATAGAATAAGCCATAGCCACAGCCATAGCCACAGCCATAGCCACAGCCATAGCCACAGCCATAACCATAGCCATAGCCATAACCATAGCCATAACCATAGCCAAGCTTGCAAATGCTCATTACAGCCAAAATGCTAATTTTCGGATTTAAGAAGCTATGAAATATTTTAATAGTAATTCTTAGTGATAAGATGCAAGAAGAGAAGGTAAAGTATTTGTATGATACATAAAACATGTTAATTAAGCTTTCAGAGGGTCATAATAGCGGTTAGCTGTAACGATGAGCAACGCGATGAGCGAACAATCAGAGATCATAAAATCGCTAGTTGTGACCTTCTGAAAGCAAAATTGATAAATTGTGTATGTCATACACAAACTTTACCACCCATTCTTGTTTCTTACAAATACAAATTATCATCATAGTATCTCATAGTTTCATAATTCCAAAAATTAACATTTCAGCTGTAATGAGCAATTGCAAGTCTGGCCATAACCATAGCCATAGCCATAATTATAGCTATAACTATAGCCTTTGTCTTTGTTTTTGTCTTAAGATTTCTCCTTATCCAGAACGATATCCTCCTTCAGACGACGAATGGGAATTCCTCCCGGGTTTCAAAACCATAAATGTTCGTGACGCACTCGCGAACTTCTCAACAAATGACGGCGTACCAGGAGTTCAGGAAAAACACGAAAGTTAAACTTGACAGAGTGAACTTAACTGACTCGAAAGCGAAACGCGGCGGACTGTTCGACCTCTTCGGATTTGGAATTTAGACTTGGGTATACGTTTGATGACTTTGATGGCTGTATTCATACTGAAGTTCAATCGTTTTACAAATGCATGGTTCTCCTATCTATTTTATCAATGAGTATGTGTAGGTGAGCAAACGGAAAGGAAATAGATCAACGCGAACTATATTGGTTTCATTTTTATAGCGATACGTTTTCCCTACACTGAAATTTATTTTTATGAGTTTTATTTCAATAAGTTAGTTTCGAAAAGTATAACTATTCTGTCCCAGTGGGCACTAGTTTCCTAGTATTGCTAAGAAAACTGAAACGAAATTAAATGCTTTTCAACGTATATACTTCGGTGACATCGTTCCCTGGTACATAAGCGTAGTTTTCACTTGATGACCTATTAATTGTTCACCAAGTAACCTTAAATCATCGCTATACAAACCGTACGTTTTACGACTGGGTTTGTTGCTTTTGCAACAAGAAACAATTTTTCCGAAACTTTAACACGTTTATTGTTACCGTGGAAACGGTTAAAATTTTCGTTTGTGCAGGTTCTTATTCGCTACCCGGGTCGTAATGGTATGCGCAACGCTATCGTATAACCTGTAAGTTATCCTCGTATAACCTGTAAGTTATCCTAAACCTTTCACTACATTTACATACACACTTAGTTTTTTCTACCGAGCTCGGCTGTGCAAATCTCGGCAAAATAAGTTTCACTGAGATCTCAGCAAAAGTGACATTTGATAGCTGAGTCTCGGATAATGCTTAGCTGAATCTCAGCAAACAAATGAAATGTTTGCTGAGATCTCAGTAAAACTTATTTTGCCGAGATTTGCACAGCCGAGCTCGGTAGAAAAAACTAAGTGTGTAAGACAGTAGGTTAAGATAGTATAAGGAATTTAACTATATTTTAAGTAATTAGAAAACGTTTTCCACCTCACTCGATGATGACTTGTACCTTTTCTTTGACGTTTCTTCCTCGATTCACGGATTGATTGACGGCTCCTCCTGTCCGTTGGTGACCGCAGCCAGCTTCACTCCACTCATGATGACTGATGCAGCGTTGCTGCACAAATAAGGTGAACCAGTAGGTGCGGCGTCGCAGGAGGGGCGTTCGCAACAGTCCCCTCCAGTGGTTGGACCCTGGTCCGACCCACTTCCATTTGCACCTACGTCCAATACAGCTAACTTGGTTGCAGGTCTCTCGTACATTCTCGCGGCAGTCTGGACAACCGCCGACCGAACTTGTCCATCTGCGGAGGTCTTCACCGACACCACTCGTCCTTTGGGTCAGCAGTTCCTCGGTAAGCTGGGATCGGTCACGACGACAATTGCACCAACCGCAATCGGCCTTGCTGGGTAGAACCATTTTGTGCGGCGCGTAATTGTTGGCAGGTATTCGGTCACCCAACGTTTCCAAAACTGGTTCGCCAATGCCTGTGATGCCTTCCATGACCGTTGTAACATCAACGGGCATTCGTCATACGGCACCAGTGGCTTCGATCCGTCCGACGAACCCAGGAGGAAGTGGTTGGGGGTAAGCGCCGGCGATGAATAATCGTCCACGGGAACGTGGGTCAATGGTCGACTGTTGATGACGTTCTCTATCTCGATCAAGTAGCTTCGGAGTACTTATTCCGTCGGTACTCGTTTCGGTTTGATCTGGGACAGAACTTTCTTCACGGATTGAATGAGCCGCTCCCAACAGCCACCCATATGCGGCGATGCAGGAGGGTTGAAGTGCCACGTTGTTCTTGTCGTGACAAATTCCGCCATAAGTCTGTTCTGATCCAACGCCGCTACCGCCTCTTCAAGTTCCTTATCCGCACCCACAAAGTTCGTCCCACGATCGCTTATGATTTCCACAGGAGTTCCTCGTCGAGCAAAGCAGTTCCGCAGAGCTAGGATGCATGAGCTGGTGTTTAACGAGGCAGCCAATTCGAGGTGTATCGCTCGAACCGTAAGACATGTTACGATGACACCCCAGCGCTTCTCGTGATGACGTCCTACAACGACGAAGAACGGTCCGAAGAAGTCCACGCCCACGTACGAGAACGGGCGCACGAAGGCTGCCATCCTTGCCTTCGGTAACGAAGCCATCATCGGGGGTGCTGGTGCAGCGCGTTGTATCTCGCATAACTGACAATTTCGACGCACTCGATCGTAGACCCTGCGAACTCGTGGGATGTGGAATCCTTTGCGCACTTCGTTCACACAGGTTTCGTGGCACTGATGATGATATCGCAGATGAACGTCACGTACGAGAAGAGCAGTAACGGGATGCTCTCGAGGGAGCACGATGGGATACCTGCTGCTCTCGTCTACGAAGTCGCATTCGCCCAACCGACTGTGGATGCGCATCACGCCCCGCTTGTCAACGAACGGACTAACCTTGAACAGGCTGTTCTTCTTCTGGAGTCGGCGATCACCCGCTGCTAGGATTGCTAGTTCATCTGCGTAGACATCTTCCTGTGCTCGTTTGATTTGGAACACTTCCGCATTGAGAAACTCGTGCTGCGTTAGCGGCCCGACATTCCGTTGTTGGCCTTCCTTCTTCAGCCGGATATTGTTCACGAACCGTTGGACGAAAGCCGTTGCTCGCCGTAAGCGGTACCACGATGAGAAGTTCTCTGGCAACAAAACGGTACGAACTCTCCCAACTGAATGGTGCATCACGCTTGAACGGATTTCTTCGGCGGTTTCCTGGCCATTTAGCGACGACTCCGGCCATTCCATTTTGGGTCTCCACAGGAACGATGGCCCGTTGAACCAACGACTTGCTGGCTTGAGATCCGGTTTGTACTGCCACTTTGTTCCGTCGTCAGCCACGTTCTCCTTTGTACCTATCCACCTCCATTCCGTAACGTCCGTCTCTTCCAATATTTCACCCACGCGGAAAGCCACGAACTGAGAGTACCGGCGGTGATCCGATTGTAACCAGCACATGACGTTCCGAGCATCAGTCCAGAAATAACGACGGTCGACCTTGATAGAGTGGCCTGCCTCGATACTCTTGGCCAAGCGTGAACCGATGACTGCTGCTTGCAGCTCCAGCCGGGGAATGGAGACGAACTTGAGGGGCGCTACTCGAGTCTTGCTGCCGATGAGCGCACAATGAACATGTCCATTCCTTTCAAACCGGAAATAGGAAACGGCTGCGTACCCAAGCTCACTAGCATCTACGAACGTGTGAAGCTCGATCCTGGCTTCGTTGATGCTGGAGTCAGCCTGGTAGTAGCAACGCGGAATTTCTACCAACTCAAGCTCTGCCATGTATGCCACTTCTCCAACTCCTTTTCCCCGATTTCTTCATCCCATGCAGTTTTCGCTCTCCAGACCTCCTACAGCAGTATCTTCAGGAACATCAAGTAATGTGCAATGAGACCTAACGGGTCGTAGATGGCCATCAGCGTCCGTAGCATGTCCCGCTTGGTTGGATGCTTGATTCCGGTAAGAAGGTCCCTGTTACGTTCCGTGCAGAGCTTGTAGCGAAAGACGTCTTTTGTTGTACTCCACCACATCCCAAGGACCTTTTCCATGGCAGGGTCAGCGCTCATCTCCATTGACTTTTCCGGCTGAGTGTTTTCTCCGAGGGTTTCCAGCACTTTGGTTGAGTTCGACACCCAGTTTCTCATGAGGAATCCGCCTTGTTGGTGAATGTAGCGTACATCATTGGCCAGCTTGATGGCTTCCTCCTCCGTGTCTACGCTCGTGAGCATGTCGTCCACGTAGTGCCTCCGGTGGATAGCGTCGACAGCAACAGGGTATTCGCTTTCGAAACGGGCAGCGTTTTCGTTCAGGACGAATAGCGCAGTGCTAGGTGAACAGGTAGCGCCGAACGTGACAACCTGCATTACATAGTCACATGGCTCCGTCGTTTCGTCGCTGGCACACCAAACGATTCGCTGACTGTCCTCATCTTGCGGGTTCATCAACATCTGATGAAACATTTCAGCTACATCACCTCCTAAGCCAATCAACCGCTCTCGGAACTTATATAGTACTGGTGGTAGAGCGTTTAGTTGATCCGGACCCTTCATCAACACGGCATTCAACGATACTCCTCCAAACGACGCGGCTGCATCGAACACGATTCGGACCTTGCCTGGTTTATTAGGGTTGAAGACCGGAAAGATGGGCAAGTACCAGGTCCGATCTCCCGTCCTCTGACTTTCCTCCGGGGTTAGCTTGCGGACGTACCCCTTGCTGACGTAGTCTGCCATCTTCGCTCTCAACGTCTCGGCCAGTTGGGGTTCGCGTTCCATCCTCTTAACCAGACAGTAATGACGTCTCAACGCCATCGACCTGTTGTTGGGTAGGCGTACGTCATCGTATTTCCACAAAAGACCCACTTGGTAGCGCCCGTTCTGGAACGTTGTACTGTCGCGTAGTTTCACCAGCGCTCGTTCGTCCTCCTTGGAAAGAAGTTGATTCTGCGGAGCTCTGATACCCAAACTGTCGAGCATGAAGTAGCTTTTTACGGTTTCGTGTAGAAAATCGTCGGATTCGTGAGAGTGGAAGCATGTATGGTAGCTGTACAGGGCAGTGTTTGACGCCGGACCATTCTCCGACGAGCAGGTTCCGTAGATCGTCCATCCAAGGCGTGTCTTGACAGCAACTGGTTCATTTGGCTTCCCTTCACGGCTGTCCAGGGCGTGGACCACTCGTACGTTATTCATCCCGATCAATATCTTGGGTTGAACGTTGCAGTACGATTCTATTGGCAACCCTTCAAGATGAGGGTACTCCTCCGAAAGCTTGCGAACGGAGAGAGATTGCGACGGAAGTTTCAACTCTTTAACCGTGTAGACATCTGTCAGGTTGTTTTGAGGACATCCGTTGTACGTGCCGGAAATGTTGAGAGAGACTCGCATGGCATCGTCTTCGTAACGGCAGGTATCGGCCGTCCAGCGGAGGCAGAGTGGATGACTTTCGCCACGCAAATTCAACTCCTTCGCCACACTTTCCTCCATCAGTGTCAAGGAAGATCCGCTGTCCAGGAACGCATAGGTTTGTACCTTGATCCCATCATTGTACAGCGTGACCGGAACGTACTGGAATAGTACAGCTCTGCTTTCTCCTCGGTGCGTGTTGCATGATCTGGTTTCTCTGGAACTGCTCGCGCTGACCTGCTGTGAAGTAGAAGTAGTCGGTGCCGAACTGGACGAAGACGACGCTATCGATTTATCTTTCGCGTCGTTGTGCATCATCCGATGGTGTTTGTATTGGCAGCCGTTTTTACCACACGACTTCCCGGACTTGCAGGGACCTCGATGACTCTCCAGGCAGCTACGGCATAATTTGTGTTCCCGCAGTGCAGCCCACCGAGCAGAAAGATCCATTGCAACGAATTGTTTGCACTTCTCCACTGCTAAGCAATTGCCATTGCAGATGACACATCCACTATCAACGTTGCTTTGGTTGACCTTCGGAACCGTCTCGGTGTGTGCGTTCAAAAATCCATCGTTCTTCCGTTCCCGGCGTGTCTTGTTGTCGAAGGAGCCCGAGAACTGAGGCATCGTCAACGTGCTCGCTGCTTCTGCTAGTTTGTACAGCCACTCGCTGAACTCCAACAAAGTTACCGATCGAAGAGACTGACGATGGGTCGCCCAATTCAGCCGAATCATCGGTGGGAGACGATCTACCAGATTGTGCAGCAGTGTCAAATTACACAGATGCTCCTCTAACTCACAGGCCTTCACTGTTGCTACCATGTTGCGAACGGCCAGCGCGAAATCGACGAGCGTACCCAGACGTTCTGCTTTGGGAGCGGGAAGAGTGTTTATCTTTTGCAGCAGCGAATGCACGATGATTTCCGGACGCCCAAACAACATTCGCAACGTCGAAAGAACTTGATTCAGGTTGGCTGGATGCAACAGCTGGCATTTAACCGCTTCCAATGCCTTCCCACGTAGACACTTCTGTAGACGAGCCATGTTCTCCTCCGCCGATAATCCGCAAAGGTTCGTTGTGTTCTCGTAGGTTGCGAAAAACAAGGGCCATTCATCCGGTTCCCCGCTGAAGATTGGTAGTTCCTTAGAGACTGCATGACGTGCGGCGATTTGGCTTTTATTGAGCAACGCCTTCCCCCCGGTGGCGGAAGGATAGTCGTGTAAGTCGTACGGATAATACTCTTGAGCGGCAGGACGCGGAAGACCAGCATATGGGGCAAATGCCGAAGCATTCGGGTGCTGAGTATGATTCGCTTGAGAGAACGTCGGAATATGCTGATGTTGATTGGTCGGGAGAGAAGCAAACGTCGAAGCGATAGGACGGTGGATAGGTAGAGGTGGATTGAACGCTGGTATGTTCGAATGATGATTGATACCAGGAGGGTAACGAGCAGGGAAATCGGGACGATGGTTGATTTCAGATTGAATATCAACTGGAACGTACAACTGTTGCTGTTCCCGATGTGGAGCGAAAGTTGGTCCGTCGCGATCTTGGTGGACTGGGGGTGGTGCAAAGGGAGGCATATTTCTACGGTGAGTATTCACAGGCGAAGAATGAAAGACAGGATGGTTTCTTGTGTTGTTCGGTTCGAAAGCGTTCCCTTCTAGACTACTTTGTCGTGCAGGAATGGCATTCCCCGTCGACTCGAGCAGAAGCTGAAATCTACGCAACAGAAACTTGCGTTCGATGGCTTGCTCTTCCTCTAGAAGTTGGATCCGGAGTTCGGCAGGCAGTTTGTTCACAAGGTCTGGATCGACAGCAACTTGTCTGGGAACTACTGGCGCATCAGGATCCACTATAGGTGTTCGAGGAGTACGCGGGCGTGGGGTTGGCGGTGGCGGATTTGGCGATTGTGGTGTTCGTGGACGTGGGGTAGGTGGCTGCGGATTTGGCAACGGACTACGTGGGGGAACGATTGGCGTTCGCGGAGTTTGCGGTCGTGGTGTAGGAACCGGTGGGATTGGTGTTTGCGGTGTGGGCAGACGTGGAACTGGTAGTGGAATTGGTGACTGCGGGTGTGGTAATGGCTCACCTGTAGGAGTTCTTGGATGTGGCGATTGTGGAGCAGGAACTCTGGCAACGATGCACTCCTGGCAGCTCCAATCGTGGTTGGCCACATCTTCGTTTACTCCGGCGCAGTCAAAGTGGAACCAACGCTCACAGTCATCGCAGCTGACCATGTCGTTGCTATCTGGCAGACGGCAGAGTGGGCAGGATTGCTGCAAGCTGTCATCCGGAACTGGATCCCGAGTTCGGTCCCTTCGTGGCATCTCCGATTGATCCGGGAAACGAAAATTTTAATAATGTTGCTTTTGCAACAAGAAACAATTTTTCCGAAACTTTAACACGTTTATTGTTACCGTGGAAACGGTTAAAATTTTCGTGTTAAAGTTTCGGAAAAATTGTTGAACTTAAAATAAGATAATAACTAAAACCACAAACGAAGTGACAGACGACTTTCTCCGAAGAAATTAATTAAAATAATGTGGTTCTCTGTAATAGAATTTTAGTCCACCTTCCGCCCCTCACCGCCAGGTTCGCTAGTATTTTTGCTTTGAATTAATTCAAGTTGGTTTTGTGTGCAATGATCTGGCAACCCTCGTTCTCGCTCGCGTTAACGTGGTGCTGTTTTCTCACTCATCGAAGGAAATTTTGATTAGAGTGAGAAAGTAAGGAACAATCAGCGCGGGAACCGTGTGCGTTACTGTAGGTGCGGCAGAAGGAATGTTGACAACTCTTTCGTTCTCACGGTGTTCTTACGCATGATCCAACGTTACGTCACAAATTATGGATAAGAACGTCGTGATAATGAAAGTGCTAACTTGTTTCCTTCTGCCTCACCACAGCACTTGCGATTCTCCGTCGGTTTCAGGTGCATTCTTTGTGTCATAGAGATTGCTGACGTTTATCTTACGCACACTACGTCACGCATACGTATACGCAAAATGTTTTCATCGGGATCATACTTTAGCAATCTCCACCAGTCCAAACACTAGAAGTTTTGGAAGGTTCTCCCTCAGTACCTGAAAGCAGCGTGATACCAGCTGACATTCGCTTAATGTGGGTAGTGAAATCCGGAACATTTTCTCACTTTTGAGCATCAACGGTTTCGAATCGCATTCCCACTTGAGGTGGCACCGTTGGCAGTAATCCACTGCGCCGTGGGAAAGACCTGACTAGTGCTGGAAAATTCACCGTCTAAGGAACGTCACCATTAAAATTAAATCAACCTAATTTTCTTCGCTGTAACGTACTCCGGATCAGACTCGCTGGTGGACCGTTTTCGTGGGACGGTTTTCGACCCGAAAAGCTACAATTTGAACAGTTTTCCAAAAGATTTCTGGCAGGCGTCTTGGGACGCACGATCTCCTGTCCCACCGAGGCGTCCGTTAGCGTGTCCGTGTCGGAATGGATGAACTCTTTGATCGACTGCAATTCTACCATCGATTTTCGGCACTGCTTTTTTGGTTAAATTCACACGATAGTTGAAATCGAACACGGTCGACGATCCGGCGGAGGATGCTTCGTCTTCATTGTCCGAAGAAGTCAACGATTTGATACGACCGATTTGGCTCGAAGCAATTTTTCGACGGAAGTTCCTCGTGGCAGTGGAATCTTCTTGATCAGTTCCTCCAGACTGATTTCTTCGCCATTCGAAGAAACGAACGAGGAAGAACTAGACGAAGACGTGGACAGCCGTCGCTTCGACGCTGGTTTCTTTCGTTTAGAAACCAGATCGGATTCACTGTCGTCACTGTCTTTTGTGGTTCGTCTTTTCTGAGATTTGCGTTTGGTCGTCGATGCAACTGACTCTTCAGAATCTGAATCATCCGATTTAATATGACGTCTGCCACGAGATCAGCCCCTAGAACTCCCCTCTCTGCTACTGGCTTCCGCACGTCAAGCTGCTTCCGCTCTTCGGGAAGCCTCGGCTAGCTTCAAACAATCGGAAGACAAAAGGTGCAAACATAGTTCTTCGAGGGAACCTCCATGCACTGATCGTAGCGACAAGTCGAACCGCACGTTGCACACAGGATCATATCCCAACGCTTGCAATCGTAATCTCGCCCATACCGACAGCGACACGCTTCAGCGTCACACTCCGAAGGACGTTCCAACTGATCGTTGAATGCATTCGGTTCAGGCTCCCACGAGGCATCCCTGGAACAAATAAAATAAAATATTCAGTATTCAAATACCCACCTCTGCTTCACTTACTTTTCCGGAATATAAATGCCACGCTGCTGCATCTGCTGACTAAAGTCGTCCTTGTTGTTGCACAAAGGGCACTTGAAAAAGTACCCCGCCGATTGGGCAAACTGTGCCATGCAGCTCCGATGGAACCAGACATTCTGACAGCACGAATCGATTCCAGCTTCCTGTACGGTCCCATCTCATCGTAGCAAATCCCACAGGCTTCGGTCCCGGATTATTTCACCTTACCCACCAGCGCTACGTGCTTATCGCACCACGACTGGAACGTATCCACGTAATGCGACAGGCACTCATTCTGCATCCCACAAAGCGTCTGAAATGAACGGAAGCACTTCTTCGTGCAACACAAAACGTTCGCATACCGTTCCTTGGGGCCCATGCATTAATTATTTCACGCTAAATCGAAGAGAAATTTACCCCCCACCCCTATAGTGACGTTTTTCCTATACCTAATGCATTGCTTGTCACAAAATCTTAGACCCCCCCCCCTCCCATGAGCATGACATAACATCAACCCTTGCAGATGTAACACTTTTGTCCTCGCATACGAGTTTCCTCATTTCTGATGTCCTCCTCCATGAATCCGAAGATTCCCTCCTCGTCTTCAGGTAACAAGGTACACGTAGCAGGTATAATGACTAGTTTTGCCACGTATAGTAGACCAGTCCAGAATAGTGCATCGTACCGCAATCATGCTCAAACGCTTGACATACAGCATCTCTAGCCGTAATAAATTTAAAAAAAATCGGTTTCATCCGATCCTCCTTCATTCTCAACTCCAGCACGTCGATCGCCTTTTTTGATTCGATGGATCTCGGCATGATTTTGGAGTAAATTTTCCTCCTTTAGATCGCCCTCGTCGAGAGCTTCCGGTTCCGCTACGGAGTAACGAATGCATACCGAGGATGGCCGCAAAAAAAATATAATAAAATAACGAAATTACAATGAATTTTACGGTTGAATTTTGGGCACATTAAAAATTTATTATTAATATTGGAAAGGAGAAATAATAAATTTCGTTTTTTATGAATAATCACATTATACATTTTATGAATAATCAGCAATGGAAATTTGCCAAAAGGTATAAGGGGATTTTTATCAGTGCTGGCATCGGTAGCATTGGTGCTCAGTACGGAAAACCAGATCGACGAAAAACAAATCAAAGGAAAAAAAAAAGAAATGAGAATAACAGAACTTTATCTGTACAAGTTCAGAAAAAGTTTCATATTTTTGAATTTCCTGCAGAGTTTTAAACTTTTTTCGAACAGTCCGCAATTCAAAAACAAGAGACAAAAGCGTGACATCAAATCCTATGTCCCGATCGATTCGTACAGAAGTTTCAATGCGCCGCCTGTTCGGAAAGGATTCCCCGTGACATGAGCGAGCGTCACTACGCGAAGCATGCCAGTCATACCTATCGGGTTGATATCGATCTGTACGATGAAACTACTGCCACGGCGATTGTAATCCGCTCCATGAAAGTGCAGCGGCAAGTGACGATCTACTGCGACAAATGCAACGTGCCTAAGAAATCGGCTTTCAGATTAGTATTCCACCAATTGGTTTGGCAAACACGACCAGTACTCGCACTGTCTGGTTCTGCAGAATAATAAGAAGAAGCTGGAGCAGACAAAACTGATATCCGGCAGCTTGGGTGGATCCTTCCAGTTCCGCTACGGAGGAGTGAATGTATACCAGCATACCGAGTATGGCCGGGTTCTGTTTGGCGTCCAACAACGATGTCTATGTCTTCTCGGTCGCGAATGACTGTGACTTAGGCTTCTAGCACGGACTGAAGAAATCTGTAGCAACAATTGCAACAAGCGCGAGTCATTGACAGCTCAACATCGTTTACTTGTAAGCAAATGTTAACCCGATGTGTTCATCCCTAATCATTTTGGCCTATGGTCTTTCATTATACAAAAGAAGCGATATAATGACATGCTGTTTGACAACAGGCTCTCCCTTTCAATTTTCGTTAGAGAAAAAGAGATAACAGGCGGTACCCCCTAGTTTAATCTAGTACATATGAGTAGATAGTGTTGCCGTGAGGTACACTCGAAAATTGTAAATGTAAGTGCGTCAAATCAAATTTCGAGCCGCTCCGTCTGTCACTTCGTTTGTGCTAAAACTAAAAACGAAAATTTTAATAATGTTGCTTTTGCAACAAGAAACAATTTTTCCGAAACTTTAACACGTTTATTGTTACCGTTTGTGCAGGTTCTTATTCGCTACCCGGGTCGTAATGGTATGCGCAACGCTATCGTATAACCTGTAAGTTATCCTCGTATAACCTGTAAGTTATCCTAAACCTTTCACTACATTTACATAAGACAGTAGGTTAAGATAGTATAAGGAATTTAACTATATTTTAAGTAATTAGAAAACGTTTTCCACCTCACTCGATGATGACTTGTACCTTTTCTTTGACGTTTCTTCCTCGATTCACGGATTGATTGACGGCTCCTCCTGTCCGTTGGTGACCGCAGCCAGCTTCACTCCACTCATGATGACTGATGCAGCGTTGCTGCATAAATAAGGTGAACCAGTAGGTGCGGCGTCGCACGAGGGGCGTTCGCAACAGGGTTCTTTAGGGGTATTGAGGACTACACTGCCCATAATCGCATATCAGTCCCATATGGATAGGAAATCAAGCAAAGATGGGACTGATATGCGATTATGGGTAGTACATGTCAAATGGAACCGAAATCTTAAATTTCATCAACACTGAAATTATTTTAAATAAGTGTGTTTGGGCACACGTCGAACATATGTGCATCTACCCTACACACTAAAGATGTATCCATTCACACACAGATGTCGTTGCTTGTATATACAGTGTCTATAGTCTTGTTCTGTACTGTGTAGTATTGTATTGTATGATAGACGATAACAAATAAAAAGAATAGTACGTATGCCTCTGCCATGGCAGTACGGCCAAAATAATCAGTCGTATTTCCTTTTATCACACAACGTAAAAATCGGGTCCTGTCCGTGCGCGATCATAATGGTGCCGTGACCACTTGACCAACGGGCATCACTACAACAGTGCATTGTGTAACCATTTTTAAACCTGTGACGATGATGAAGATGCAGAGTGAATGTCGCCATCAACTCCGTGGAATCCACTTCACTTCCAGCTACGATGGTGTGGCCCTAAAGGTAGCCATCTGGCTGAGCATGTACGTTCCTGGCTCACCGTGAACTACGATAGTTCTGGTCAGGAAACATGCTCACTGTTAACGGGCGAGTGCGTTTGTCGGATTATTCTACAGTTAGCGTGTATGCTTCACTGTCTTCTTCGTTTCATCAAAGTTTAAAACCGTTGGTTTTGGGGGGCAGTATGTTTGGGCACACGTCGAACATATGTGCATCTACCCTACACACTAAAGATGTATCCATTCACACACAGATGTCGTTGCTTGTGTATACAGTGTCTATAGTCTTGTTCTGTACTGTGTAGTATTGTATTGTATGATAGACGATAACAAATAAAAAGAATAGTACGTATGCCTCTGCCATGGCAGTACGGCCAAAATAATCAGTCGTATTTCCTTTTATCACACAACGTAAAAATCGGGTCCTGTCCGTGCGCGATCAAAGTGTGATTAAACTAGCGCCCTTCGGTGGTACTTTGTATGGGAGCGAAATATCAATGTGTTAGTTTAGTGTCAAACAGTGAAGTGGCTATTTTGTATTACTCCGTTACAAAACCAACACAACACAACGCAAACATTGAAGTGGTTGTTTGCTTTAAATATTAATTTAAAAATCAAAATGGGAGTAAATAAAATCAAAAAAAAAAATCTTTGCGCTCAGAAAGCGAAGTTCTTTCAGATGACGTATAGTAACCGATATATTTCTCAAAATTAAATAACCCAATTTATGGCGCTCCAATAGCTTTTGGAGCTATGTTGGCTGATGCAAATATTATTTTCATTAAGGGGAAGTTTACCACTCCGAATATATTTTTTCGGCATGTTTTTTATTTTGCGAAAAATTTGGAGAAAATAATCAAAAATGCAAGAAAAACAGTTTTTCCTGGTGCTCTACCTAACGGGTAAGATTTACCTCGGTACCTGGTAATTATTCTTTATTTGGGAAAATATCCTAACGGTAAGCAAGGTTGCAAATACTCATTTCAGATAAAACAATGTTTTTTTAAATTATGAAATAATTAGATGTCATGATCATATTTTGAATTGGTAGGATACAAGAGGAGGTTGCAAATAATGTGTTTGACATATTAAACCTGCTTATTTCACTTCATGAGAGTCACAATCAGCGATTTTTCACAAACTTACTAACTCACTCACTCACTCACTCAGCGATCAGAAAATCGCTGATTGTGACTCATAGAAAGCAAAATTTACAGGTTTTATATTTCAAACGCATACTTTGTAGCCTCTTCTTGTAAGTTACAAGTAAAACATACCATCATACCATGTTTTGGTTTTATTATTCCGAAAAACATTATTTTAGCTGAAATGAGTATTTGCAACCTAAGAGGTAAAAAATAGTCAGACGAACGTTGCAACGAAAAGTGTACTTTTGATGATATATGTAGCAACATGGCAGCGAAAGTGGGAGGTGTGAACAGTTAAACTCCTCCTGGAAATCACCCATTGCACGGTACACTCGGATACACTTTCGCACTCGAATGAATGCTTGCGTCCAAACCAGCTCTATTGAATGATGCCACCCACACATTCCCCGTCTCGTCCCGAGAAAATGAAATGAAATTAAGAACTATTTAAAAACGGGCTACGGTGTGCCTTCGAAGAAAAAGAAAAAAAAAAACATAGTAGTCTGAGTCTTCAGCGGTTCTACTTTTTTGACACAATGTCTGTGAATATCGAAGCAAGAAGACAGAATTTCTCAGGAGAACGTGAATGCACTGGAGTTTGTACCGAGCTTTGCCAGCACGACAGCTTCGGTCACGACGGTTGCAGTAGTGGTGCCGGAGCCGACTGAAACGCCAACTGCCAACACCACCAAAGGAATTTCCTCGTCCGGCGGAGTAAATACGCCAACTTACGCAGCGACCACAACGACGCCACCGTCGAGGAGTGCAGGCCAAAACGTCGGAAAATAAAGGTAAGTCCCGTTGTTACCACATTGAGCAATTTTCGCTGTGTGGGGTGGTCAGGCGGAGACACTCCTTTGCCGAGTGGAGCAAAAGCAGCAGCAGTAGCACAATAGGTGGAGGGGGAACAAAAGTAAAGAGGAGCTACGTAGGTAAATGCAGTCGAATCATTTTCCGAATAATGGAATTCACCGAACACCTGCTACTCTTTAATACTGTCGTGTTCTATCCCAACGTTCTTTCAATAACGTCTAGACAAGAGGACTTTCAGTATTACAACATCCGCAGCGAGAGGGTAGTTGTGACCATCGTCTTCGGCAAGCTTGATGAGCACCCGCGCAGCTTGGTACGGCGAACAAGCAAGTCCATAAGTCACCGTTTTCAGCTGATAGACTTGCAGTGGCATAGATTGTTCCCGACGCCATACGATCTTTAGATACCGCCGATCCTCAGGATGCACCCACATTTGGCGAAACATTTTTTCCGCGTCCGCATTGAAGACGTACTGTGGCATCCGGAAATTAAAAACGCTGGATAGCAGTGGTGGTTGTACAGTGGGGCCAGTGTGAAGAATATCGTTGAGAGAAAGGGTACTGGATCCTTTGCTGCTAGCGTCAAAGGCAATCCGAGTTTTTGTCGTGCTGCTTTCTGGCCGATGAACGGCATGGTGCGGGAGGAAATACTGCGGGCCCGCGACACGAGAACCAACTTCCATATGCCCTAATCGTTCATAGTCGTCCATAAACTTTACATATTCGTCACGCAGATCGTTGTCTCGAGCGAACCGTTTCTCCATAAACAGAAAACGTCGTACTGCTTGGTCGTAAGAGTCTCCTAACAGCGGGACCATGGACTCCCAAAAAGGAAGACGTACAATGTACCGCCCAGTAGTATCGCGTGACACGGTTTGAAGAAAGTGTTTTTCAACATCCTGTTCTATCTGGTTGAGAGTCTTTCCGACATCGAAATTCTCGATCTCCCACATCTTCTCTAGTTGGGTATTTAAATTTTGATCAGTGGCAACATGACATGCCACCGTTCTGATAGCGCTTGTTGAATATTTTCCACAGACCACGTAACCGAGCACAGTTTTCTGCAAAATAGGGTAATTGTCAGCCAAAACCATTTGATGCGATTCAATAAGCGAGAAGAATAATTCGGCCCCCACAATCATATCGACTCCATTACTAATATTAAACTTTGGATCTGCTAATGGTAAATTACGTGGGATGCTCCACCGCGAGATATCAACTGACAACTTGGGAGGCTTACTGTGAGTTTCGGGAGAACCAAGCAATCAATATCTTGCACGAATTTTCCGAAACGAGATGCAAGTGAAAGCTGTACACAGTAACGTACACTGACCATTGCTTGACCAATGCCGCTCACGGGTAGATTAATAAAAGTGCGCTTCAATCCCAACTTCTGACACAAAACTCTGATACGAAATTGGATTGTGATCCACTATCGAGAAGGGCTCTGGCGTAGTGACCAATACCATCAGCATCCTGTACTCGTACCATCGCAGTAGATAAAAACACCATCGCATCTCGTGGCTTGTTGGATAGAGTGGGTGACATCACGGTATCGTAAGAGCAAGAGGGAAGTGGTTCATTAGACTCGGACCGATCTTTCGAGTAAACCGACGACGAGGGAGAGAAGCTACTAACGGCGAACGACTGCAGAGACGATACAACTACCGACGATCCCGACGACGACACGTTTGCCTGTGGTGAATTACGCGAAGGCACCACCGACGGTGCTACCGATCCCGAAAACGAAGTTCCTGCCAGAGGGAAGCTACTGTCTGATGAATAAACAGCTGTGCATGTTGTTGAAGTAGAAGGCCTTTCTTCCACAACGCTCGGGACAGATGCAATTGGGGGTAGGTGCAGTAAGCTATGTTGTTTCTTTGCACACGTCCTGCATAGGCTACTGCGGCAGTCTTTAGCCAGATGTCCTCCTCGCAAGCAGTTTATGCAAAGTTGATGTTTTTTTGACGAAATCCAACCGATTGTTTGGTGATAGTTTCAAAAAGGCCTCACACTGAGAGATTGCGTGAGCCTGTTTACAATTGGGGCATTTAACTACGCTCTCAGAGACAATGTGAGAGGATGATTTACCTCTAAATGGCTTTGTTGGAATTGCTGTATGTAGACTGAGGTTTGGTTTGCACATTTGCATTCGTTTTTTAAAATAAAGCTCATCAAATCTTTATACTGTGGAACCACATTGTCATCACAGTGCGCCTCCCAATCCATCAAAGATTTCTCATCCAGCAGACTACTCAAGCGCTCCACTAGGAACGAATTCCAATTTTCCGAAGTGATAGCAAATGACGAAATCAAACGAGATGCTTCACCTTTCAACGCGCTACGTAAATAGTGAAGCTTTTGATTGTTGGAGTGTTCTAAGGATTTGAACAAGTCGCGGAACTCGATCCATTCATCCGATTTTCCGCCGAATTCGGGAATTTTGATCTCGGGAAGCTTCACAGATACGGAATGGTTAGCAGGGGGTACATTTTGCATTGACGGACGTGGGCCATATCACCGATATCATTGAAAGCTGCTGCTTTCACAATTAACTTGATTCGAATTTTCGGGGGAATTTTCCAACTAAAAAACTTTAATGTTTTTTTTTTAATATATTTGAATTTAATATTTAATTTTGTAGGACAATCGTGTTCCTTGGACTAAAACATATAACATAAGAAAAGTTAACAACAAAATTTCAAAGTATAGTTGCTGTAATAAAGAATTTTGAGAGAAAAAAAAAATATATATCAAGAAAGTGATTTTCCAAAGCAGATGGAATCCCTCTTCAGACAAATTGTTTTGAATGTTTTTATGTTATTGAATTTATTATTGTTATCTTTTGTTCTCTTTTTCACTACTGTTAGTATCCAACTCCATTATTTTTTTTTGCATTTCAGGGATCCTGGAAGTTTTCCTCAAATATTTTGTTCCTGTTCAAGGGTTTACTGGAAAGCCTATTGGTAAGCAGTCTTTTTCTTGATAATGTATTTATTTTACATTTACATTCATATATATACAAATATATACATACATATGCCCAGTGTATATATATATATATATATACTCAAGTAAACTGCTTTTGAATAAAAAAAAAAAAAAAAACAAAACAATATTGATAATTTTTGTATTTTTTTTCAGCCGGTTGGAATCACGGTAAGTAAACACGATAATATACTACTAGATACGATAATTAGCTTTTCCCGGACGCATGCTACAAGCAGCTGAGGTTCGGCGTGTAAATTTTTCACGTGATAGTAGGTCACAATTGACTTGGTAAGTGGATGTCGTGCCAGTAGGATAATAGGATGTTTTCTATTTTCGGGTATAGCCACGTGCCTGAGGCGGCCACGGATTTTAAAAATTCCGTCGACGAGAATCGTCATAATTCGTAAGTCTGAATTGGGTGCAACCTGCCTGTTTCTGGCTATTGCTGCGATGTCTTCAGCGAAAATTTCGAGTTGTGCCAACCGAGCTAGGCTGTTGGTGGCTTCAGTGAGTTCATAAGAATCCATACGCGCGATCATGGGTGGTTGCCGGGCTTACTGTTGTGACTAAAGTGACGTAGAAGAGCAGCGATACGCACGAAAGTCTTAAAAATGCACCGGTAGGGAAACGGATCTCTCTTCGTCTCTTTCTAAAGATGCTAAGAAAAAAATAGAATCCGTAGAGCACACTGCAGCAAATTATATTGTCGCCTGGACCTTATTGGAACAGCGATTTTAACAATAGAAGATTAATTGTGAAATCCTACATTGGCGCCCTGTTTTCAAATTGTGCCCATGAAAAGAAAGTACTACGAATCTCTAATGCACTGGATAGATGATTTGAAGCAAAACCTGTGCATGGTTGACAACATGGGCATTCTGACGGACGGCTGGAGTGCGTTGCGGGCACACATGGTTTGTAGCTGTCTAGATGCGTCGACCCTAAAGCAGTGGGAAATCCATCATTAACAACAGATGTTCCTAAATACAAAGATCTCATCAAATTTCTACGTACTCATCTTAAAGTGCTCCAGTCGCTGACACTGTCGAAGTCTCGTTCAATCGATCCAGTCAAATCGAACTCGTTTCGATCTCAGAAGTACAAAACACGGTTACCAATACCAGCTCATCCCTCCGTATCATGCTGTTGATGTTCGGATAGGGTCTCGTTGCACCAAATTTACAATCGAAGACTGAAAAAAAAAATATACCCGTGAGCTTCCAGTGAACACGGTCGATTCTTCTTGCTGAAGCATTCCATTCGGAGTTATACTGGCCGATCACAAGTTTCATGAACCGGGATCGATTGATCTGCTGCTGGGTATAGAGCTGTACTTTGAACTGCTCTTAGAAGGATTCATTAAGCCGGGTCCTGAGAAGCCTGTTCTACAGAACACTGTTTTCGGATGGGTAGCACTTCATCATCCTCGTGACCAACCTAAGGCAGCTCACGTATGTAGCACAGAATCACTCGATGACCCAATCTCCCGCTTTTGGGAAATATAATCTTACTGGTCATCTAGCACTCGTTCTCCTGAGGAACCCTTCTGTGAAGAACACTTTATAGCTAACACTTTTCGTGACCAATCGGGAAGATTTGTGATCACCCTTTCGAAACGACCCGACGTATTGTCCCAACTCGGAAGTTCTAAGGAAATAGCCACTCGTAGATTTCTTGTTCTTTAACGCAGACTTGATGTGAACCCTAAGCTCAAGGAGGTTTATGCTGCATTTATTGGGGAGTATTTGCACCTCAACCATATGCGGGAAATCGACGACACTGACAACACATTCCCATCTTACTACCAACCTCATCATGATGTGGGGAGAGCTGACAGCACGTCTACCAAACTACGGGTAATGTTCGATGCCTCTTGTCGGACGGATAGCAGAGTATCCCTTAATCAAGCGTTGATAGTGGGTCCAGTGTTGCAGGACAACGTACAGGATATATCGTTTTGCTTTAGGATGCACCAGTTTGCGATTATTGCCGATGCTGAGAAATTTTATGGACAGCTTCGTCTTAACTCTGTTGATTTTTCACTGCATCGTATTCGCTGGCGTTTCTCCTCTTCGGAACCGCTCAAAACTTTCTAATTAACCTCCTACGTTACGTACGTTACTGCCTCGACACCGTAACGCTGCCGTACTGCTTCGACACTGCTTGGCCACAAGATGTCTTTTAGAGCTGTCAAATCAAGGCGCTGATCAGTTTACTCAAGCGGGGGATGTCCGACGAAGAAGGACAGGAATAGTGCAGAAAATTGCAAAACCTGTTGCAGTCTGCTGGATTCAATTTACGCAAATAGGCACCCAACTCGCCGTCTATTCTCTCAGTCATACCACCAGAACTGCGTGAAGAACGTTTCGTGCTTGCGCTAGATTCCCCAACAACCATCAAAACCCTTGAACTCATGTGGGAACCATCGATGGATCTACTCCACTATTCCGTTCCCAAATGGTCCCAAACGAACATTATCACAAGACGAACCGTGCTGTCAGACACAGTAAACTTGTTCGACCCACTCGGGTTGATTGGCCCTGTGATAGTCCTTGCTAAAATCTTTGTCCAATGTCTGTTGCGAACGTCTGAATCCTGGGACGAATCATTAGACGAGCTCCAACAGAAGCATTGGTTAGAGTTCCGCAACTGTTTACATGCACTAGCATTTATCACCATTCCTAGATAGGCAACAACCGCCTCCGTTTGCGTATCAATTGAAATACACGGTTTCTGTGACGCTTCTGAGAAAGCCTAAGAACCGTTTCAACCGACGGAAGATTGTCGGTCATCTATTGGCTGCCAAGTCGAAAGTAGCACCTCTTTATTTTTCCTCTGGTTTGTTTTTTCTGTTAAAATTATATTGCATTTTATTGTTTCTATAATACTTATTCATATAAGTTCCAAATAAGATTATTTTTGTTTTAAAAACCCATATTTCAATTGCAACCACTGTAAAACT